ACTACTTCAGGTCCTTAATATAAGAGCTAGTTTGACTTTTAATTTTATCCTAAATATAAGACTCAAATCCACTCTGTCTCTCATATTTATCTATTTTTTAAAGATAATTCTTGTAGTAGTTGCACATGTTTAATGTTTCACCAAATAGTAGTTCTAGCTAATACACATGATTAGCAAAGGTATTTTAGGAAAGACAACAGCTATTTATTACAAATAAGTAACTTAATTAATTTTTTTAATATACTTAAATTAGTCAACTAGTTTTATATTAAAAACAAAAGTAGTACTGCCTCTAGTTCTTAATATAAGCGTTAGTTCACTAATTTGAGTAAATTAAGGAAACTAATTGAGTTAGTTATTTATAATAATTATTATCTTTTCTAAAATATCCTTGCTAATCAAGTGTATTAGTTAGAACTATCATTATTATAAGGACTACCTTAGAAAAAAAATAGATAAATATGAGAGACACAGAGAATTAGGGTCTTATATTTAAGACTAAAATAAAAGTCAAATGAGTTCTTATATTAATAATCAAAGCTAGTAGTAAGAACCATTTAAGTTAATCTTTTTTTTTTAACAAAAAAGTTTATGTGAGTTGGGTCTTATAGACTTACCAGGACTATGACATGCTTCCAGCTTCAAAGAATGCTTATAGAAATACTTACAAATTACCCATTAATAAGGTCCTCATATCAGCAGTAAAATTTAAACTCACGGCTTTATAAGTTATAAGCTGACCTTTTATGAACTGGATCAACTCTTATTGGTAAGTAAATTTTTTTTGTTAAGGGGAAAAAGGCATGGGTATGCTGGGGATGCTGCCTGGGCCCAAAAGATAAAAAGTTCGATAATTGGGCCGGATCTTTTATTTTGTCATCTGGTAATTTCCAAGGGCAACCAATGGGAACATTCAATCAAGGAAAAAAAAGTAAAAAGAGGGGAACAGAAGCTGGTTGGCTACTTTTGGCGTTGATTTTTAAGGCTTAAGCAAAGATGTTTTGATCAAAATCATAATACAGTCTTCCCCATAAAGCTTTCAACGAGGTGAGGCAGTAGGTGGACATTGATGAATCTTAAGGTTTCTAAGAGATCGAATCTCGACGGCGGTCAAGCTGAACTTATCCATCGAATCGGCTCCGTACGCGTCCAAATCGCCAGAGATGAGGATACTTCAAGTTGCTATTTGCCAAAACAGATTCGAACCAGGGGACAATCAGCTGTGCTCATCGCCTCCTGAGGTTGCTGTAGACTCAGCTTTTTTCCTCGCCATCTTCTCTAGTAACTCTGAGTCTCCCGCATGGTTCTTGAACAAGCTTGTCAAAATTCTTCGGTATTCTTCAGATCATCGGCGAGATCTTATTATCTTCATGGCGCATGAGACATACCGGTCAGATGTAAGGAAGAAGATAGGCAGTTACCAGGTGGAATCCGCAGAACAGAAAAAGAGGAATCTCAAGAGGTACTCTAATTAGGAGATACAGCTCATTTAAATCACTTGTTCAATATTACTTTTGTTTTTACATTTGAGTTAGCACTAGCTAAATTACATTTCACTTGAAGGTTAGATAAGTCCTGCATTATTTGGTAATTATAGATGCATATCTGATTAATTATGGGTGCGTGGATAGTCGTTTGATGAAGAGGAAGGATAGCAGGAATGACTCTTAAAAAGCGTATTTTAAATGGAAAAAGAATTATTTTGTGCGGATGAAAAGTTTTTTTTTTTTTTTGGTTATAGAAGATATTTTAAGATAGGTGACACTATTAATTTTATATTTTGACGTTTTTCATGTGCAGAGGCGTAATAGAAGAAACTGTCCCTCTAGGGTTGACGAAGTTGGATGCTATGGATCTTAACAAACAACATGCACATCGACAATCATTATTAGGTCACGAGCAGTTGGAGTTTAAGAATGGGTGGAATCAGAAAAAAGAATTCATAGTTATCTTGACAGATAACTATAAGAGAAAGTCAATGAGATATGCTAATGGCCTTCCATTAGCTTTAGAAATTTGACTTTTTCTTTTCAATGTAAGAAAAAAATGAATGGGAAAGCCAATTGGAAAAGCTCAAAACTATTTTTTGTGTAATAAGTTAGTATGCATTGAAAGTGAGTTTTGATGGATTAGGTTGTGCAGATATATTTTTTTTCACAGTTAAAAGAGCTGGAGTAGATTAAAAATTTTTCAAGATAAATCTCTTTTAACTATTGTGAAGAAATGAATTGAGTCAATGCATGACTTGATACAAGAAATAGTTTTGAGTTTATATTAAAGCTTTTCTAATCATTTTTTTGAAATGAATTGCATTGATGCATGTTTTAATTCAAAATAATGTCTTGAGCTAGTTGAAAAGGTAATTGGTTAACTAAGACAAAGCCTTTTTAACTTTATCTATTTTTCAAAATTAATTGTAGCAATGCATGACTCGATAGAAGAAACGGGTTGGGTGGAGTAACATGTTCACAAAGAAAAGGACTTGTACCTGTTTTCAAAGAATTGGTTGAATAAATGCATGACTTAATTCAAGAAATGAATTAAATAAATGCATGACTTAATTCAAGAAGTGAATTAAGTGAGTTGTTAAGTGTCTTATTTTTACGAGTCAACCATATCACTGCATGAGTTGATACAAGAAATTGACTGAGACGACATTCCTGGGAAATCTATGGAAATCTTGTAAAACATAGCTGTTTATGGAATCTTGAAGATATTTATCAAGTACATGGTAAGAGTCAAATTTATATCAACTATTTTCATTAGAAACATTTAAATGCTGGAATGCTTTATTTAATCCTGTTTTGAATTATGATTTTGATTGACAGCGTACCAAGGTTATTGAAGGCACAGCTCTTGATGTGTCAAAAGTTGAAGAGCTATATTTGACTATTCTTGGTGCACAAGCCAATATTTCTTCTGATTATAACTCTAAGCATGAAGAGAATGGCTAGCATCTTTTCAAGGCATTGAGTCATTCTGGAAGAAATAAGATAACTTCGTTGGGAAAATTTTCCTTTTGATGTTATTGCGATAAGCATATTTTTGGCTGAAATCTTGTTTATGCCTGAGTTGCCAAATAGCTGCGTCAGAAAACATTTGGCATGTGGTCCAAGTATATATGTTGGTACTTTTGTTCAGTTTTCTATTCATTTAAGAGCCAAAAGAACCTTCTGAGAAGCCATTTGATATGATCTTTTACTTGATTGTTTTCGAATTTCCAGGAACATGAGCCTGGGAAATTCAGAGAAGAGCTCCCCATGTTTCCAATGCCATATATCATAAAGAAGCATATTTCAATCATTGTCTCCCTCCCTCTCTCTGAACTCTCAAGACTCGGAATTTTCACTGGCATAAGAGTATATGATACAGTGGAACTGAATTAGGACAGCTATCTATGAATTTCCCTCGTTCATTGGGCATTTGAATGAAATTAACCATTCTATCTGGATTGCTGCAAAACTTTGTTGAAACTTCTGAACATTCTGAGATGGCTCGAGATCTCTTGGAAGACATAGTGATGGAGGTTGCATGCCTTTTGGCGCATCACATCTACGTTTTCCACTAGATAGTTTGTGATCTTTAGAAGAGCTAAGGCTGAACAATAGTTGTCTGTATTCTACTTCTGGGAAGCATAAGCTTGGTGGAACTGCCATGGAGGGATTGCTTGCAAGCCTTGAACATCTTTCAAGGCTGCAATATCTTCTTCACTTACATCGTACTACAGAATGCCAATCACTGTAAATCCTCCGAGATACGTACGATTATCCCATCAAAACAGGTTTCCAATTAATTGATGTGCCATCATCTTCACATTCCAAGGATTGAAGTTTCATTTTCTGTTTTATTGAGTGTCATTTCCATTAAGTTTGTTTAGTGGCTTCAATTTTACGAGCTTGAAACTTGTCAGTAATGTTCAAATGTAGTGTAAGTTAATGGTATCGATGAAGTTCCAGTCCTTTATTAGAATGGCAATACGAGTCAGCCTTTCCCTTCTAACATAGACCTTATTATTATAGAGTTGACTTCAGATCATGTTTGTCTAAAGCGTGATGAAATTGGAACCCTTTTGAAGTGTTGAAGGCCTTTAACGGGTGAAAGCAACGATATGGATGATTATAGGTTGTTACGGCAATGCTCTTAATGGTGCTCTCCTTTGCAATTATTTGCAACACCTATCCCTATAAGAGCTGCAATGATACTTGTAATTCCGTTATGCTATTTATACTTTCCACAACTACTAATTCAAATAATCGTGTGGAAGAACATAGAATGTGTTTACAATAAAAAATAAAATAATTTATTCAGTGCGAATTCCGTTTAGAGAGACGGTTCGAAATATTTTTAAGGATGTTACAGAAGTTGACATTATTCGGCCACTTGAATGTGCAAGTAAATATCTTAGCACTCATTACTCGAACGATGCAAGCATACAATAAGTACTCTTCTAATATTTAATATAGGATCTAATTATTGAGTTAATTTTGATCATAAATATAAGACTTATTTATTATTTTTTTAAATTTTTTCTAAATTATCTCTATGAATACTCTCTCAATCATAATTAAGTAAAAAAAAAAGATATTAAAAAAAGATGATTATGATACTCTAAAAAAACTATGTCATATTTTTTATAATTAACTAACCTAACTTCTTTAATCTAATCAAATTAGTTAAATAGATCTTATATTAAAGACTAAAAGAGTACAAAATTAGATTATAACAAACTAAAAATAGAAAAACGTCCAAATTCCTACGCATAAATTCGCGACAAGTAACTAAGCTAGAGCATGGTCACAGCTTTCTTTACACCTTTTAACTTGTAATACCTTGGTCAAATTTCCTGAGCATATGAAAAACAATGTCATTTCAAATAAAAGTATATGAAATAGGGTAAATGAGATGTGAACTCTGGCTAACAAAATACCTTGCAACGCAAAAACCACAAAACCAAAAAGGAAAATCAAAAACCAAGACGAGTAGAGAGGAAGAGAACAGAATAAGATACTCAACGGTTTCCCTCCGCTTCATTTCCGCAGACTGCTTGACGGATAATGAAGAGGTCCTTTGTAAATATTCCCTTAATTCCATATTTGTTCATACTACAAAAAATACACTCAAAAAACTAGTCAATGCCCTAGTTCTTTTCCCTTCTCTTCATATCAAACAATACATTAATCTGTACAAGCCTTAAACTCATTGCTCTCTGCTCGCGTTGTTAAGTTCCACTTCAGCCAAGATAACTAGGAGACGATGAAATAAAAATACAACAAAAATGAGTCCTGCTATTTTTTTCCCCCTTGGCCAGCAGAGCAAGTCTTCATACCAAAACCCAATTTCATCTCCGTTCTAGCATAAAACCCATTATCATAGTCAGCCAGAGTGTCAATCAAAGACTAGCAGCCTCGCTGAACATCCATCTCAGGCTCCTTTCTTCTTTTGATCTTTGGAGGATTTAATATCCTTCGTCAGCATTCTTGGGGCTATGGCCATAGCCATTAGCTCTTGGAAAAGTAGCTTACAAGCATAAGGAATGTAAACCTGTGTGCAAAATCAGCAGCGGCAACAGCATGATGTCAATATTTCAGCGCTGGGACATGTATTGACATGATAAAAATTAATGAAAAAAATGTTATGTAATAGACCAGCACAACAGATAGTGTTATCGACCTGAACAACGTCAGTTTTGTTCTTGCAGCCTCTGCATTCAAAAGAATTCTTCTTAAGATTTGCGATGGCTATCAAACCACAACGTTCACAAACATGGACTCTATATGCATCACTTTGATCAAATAATCTCTCCTTTAGGAAGTGTGCAGCACCGTGGGCTATCATGCAATCTCGTTCCATCTCTCCAAATCGGAGACCTCCATCACGAGATCGCCCTTCTGCAGGCTGCCTTGTGAGGATCTGCACAGGACCTCGGCCACGTGAATGTATCTTGTCATCAACCATGTGTTTCAGTCTTTGGTAATATGTGGGGCCAAGGAAAATCATGGCAGTTAGACGCCTGCCTGTGTGACCATTATACATGGTCTCAAAACCACGCATTTGATATCCACATTTATGTAGAGCTTTGCTGATATTGTCACCTGGACAGTAGTTAGAGGAAATATATTTAAGGTTAACTCAGTAATCTCTCCTAGTCAAGAAAAAAGATGGAGACCATAAAAGGGAGACAAGCACTGCAATTTTTATCCCTTTTGCAAGAAACCCATTGACCCTAAATTAGTGCCAGTTACCCATATCCACAATCAAAGATAAAAAATTAAGATGATAACCCTACAGGATGAACCAAAAATAAATAAAAACAAAAGAAAAAAAATACTAATTGCGTTATTGCAACCAAAGCTCTTGTTAAGGATATATATTTCCATCCACCATCTCAGACTGATGCCCCTGTAGCTAGAACGTCAGCACAGGTGATCAACCTAGTCTTCGTATATATTGGCTACATAACAAGGCATTATTATTTTTTTTTTTTTATTTTTTTTTTGGTTTTTTTTTTTGGGGGGGGGGGGGGGGGATGGCGAGTTCCAATCAGCCACACTGGATAAAGCCGTGATGAGAGGAAGTTACTTACAGTAACATCTGTAAAAGGTGTAGCATCTCCTTCTTTTTCCCATGTGAGCAGCAACCTTCCCATGATACACTCAATAAGCTGACCAATCGTCATTCGAGAAGGAATAGCATGTGGATTGACAATGATATCAGGTGTGATGCCTTCCACAGTCCATGGCATGTCTTCTTGGGTATAAGTCATTCCAACAGTCCCCTTCTGACCATGTCTACTACTGAATTTGTCACCAATCTGTGGTATCCGAACGGATCTCACCCGCACTTTACAAATCTCAACCCATCAGCATTTGTTGTCAGCAGAACCTACAGAACAAACAAGGTCCATGAGCGTGCAAAACCATGCTAAGAGATTCAACTTTTAGGTAATTTAGATTAGATCATCGCACTTCAAGTGTAAATATGATTTTTCCCTCCCATCCAACTTTCATAGTTATAGTATTAGACCATCACACTTCAGATGTAGACATGATTTTTTCCTCCCATCTAAGATTCAAATTTCATAATTGTCCCCCTCCTCCTACGCTCAATGTGTCCTTCTTTTCAGATGGAAAATCATTTATTGATAAAGACACGGGGACTGCAGATCCTTCCCAAATGCAGAAACAAAGATAATAAAAACAAGGCACGTTAAAGATGATTTTGTTTCCAAACATCTGAGACACATTAAACTTCCATAATGCAGGCCAATATGAAATAGAGTAAAGAACATTTGGTAAAACTTACTTGATCACAATTCCTGTTTCACTATGACGTAAGCTTATGCTGTGATCACGTCTTGTATAACGTGCAGATTGGCCCTGCGCATCATCCTGAGAGATCGGAGTGGTCTTTCCAATGATAA